GTGTGTGTGTGTGTGTGTGTGTGTGTGTGTGTGTGTGTGTGTAGTGTCACAGTGAGAGATGAGGAAGAGTCAGATTTCAAGTAATATTGCTTTTAAAGACCAGGGAGTTAAATAGTTCCCCTTTGATGTCACTTCCTGTTTCATTTTTCACTGGTTAGGACCCAAGCTAATACACATAGCATTAGCTACATAAAAACTAATGCTACATATTTATTATTAAATATATGTATACTATATATGGCATTAAGTCTCGAGCAAATAATGTTAGCTCCGGAACTAATGCTATACATATATGTATTAGCTTGAGTGCTAACACTAAAGCTAACAGGCTATGTTAAGGTTCTCCTTCCACGAAGCAGCTCTGTTTTCCTACGTCCGCATTTTCAGACTCAGTTTCAGGCTGAGTCATTTCTACATTCTCCTCTCTGTCATTGCACTCCGGTTTCATTTAAAATGTCTTAACATTAGATATTATTCAAAATTAAGGTTCAAGCTTCATAGAGTCCGAAGGATGTGCCTGTCTCAGGTTCTGTAATGAGGATGACTATCAGCTACTACCACACCAAACATTAGCTCATTATCTGTACATTTTAAAGATGTTGCAGTGTTTATATTAAGCACTGTGCCTTTTTTTAGCAGATTTATGCATTATTTTCTCCGCAGACATGTCGTTCCGTCGAGGTGTCGTCAGGCAGAGTAAGTTCCGCCACGTGTTCGCGCAGGCCTGGAAGGCCGAGCACTGCCTGGACGACGTCAGAGTGTCCCGGGTGACGTGGGACAGCCCCCTCTCCGCCGTCAACCCCAAGTTTGTTGCCGTTATCATCGAAGCGGGAGGAGGAGGAGCGTTCCTCGTCGTTCCCATCACCAAGGTTGAACGTCCCGCTTTTTGTTCAACATCAGAAATACAGTGGATCGGTCCAATTAATCAGGTTTCACTAATGCATCTTTTCCTCCACAGAGTGGCAGAATTGACCAGTCCTGCCCCATGGTCTGTGGACACGCAGCGCCGGTCCTGGACATCCAGTGGTCCCCTCACGATGACAACATCATTGCAAGTGCCTCAGAGGACTGCACAGTGAAGGCAGGTTGAGAGTCGTCCCTCCAGCCTAATCTAAGTGGTGGTTTGTGGGTCCATATCCTGTTCCTTTGTTTCTCGTGTTTAACCCGACCACACAGAGGTATAGGCTAAAAATGTACTTGCAGTTCCATCTGTCAGTAAGTAGAAGTTCACAACTCTGGCCAAATAAAAGTAGATCTAGTCAAGCTCAGAATAAAAATACATTTAAAAAATGCATCTTGAGTAAAATAGCCCAAAAAACGCTCTAAATTTAAAAAGGAAGAACTCTAGTTTGAAACTTTACCTGGAGATTTAATTGAAATTAATATTAACCCTGGGAAAAATAATTGCTTTATATCAGGGCTATTCAACTGGTGGCCCGGGGTCCCCATCCGGCCCGTGGGTGAGTTTGGTCCGACCCACCCGTAGTTTCAAATAAAGCTAAATTAATAAAGCTAGATCACAGTTTACTGGTTCCAACCCTCACCTATGGTCATGAGGTATGGATCATGACCAAAAGAACAAGATCCTGGATAGAAGATATGAGCTGTCTTCATAGTGTGGCCAAACTCAGGTAAGATTGTTCTCAACCTCACTTTTTAAGATCTGAACTATCACTTTAAAGTGAACATGTGCTTTTAAATCCTTCTTTTTCACATTCAAATCATTCAGTTGGGTCTATAAAGTGGAACTCTAATGTTTAGGTCTGAATTCCCCCTTACTGTAACTCCACAAGCCCCTCTTTCCCCCCTTTTCTGAGGTATGTCTCAAATCAACTCGTTTTAATGCTGTCTCTTTAAATCCAAATGACACACTTCACACCCCAACCCCCTCCAGGTCTCACTCCCAATGATCATTGTCCTGTTCGGCCATTTTTTTAGTTTAATAGCAGAAATACAATTATCTAGTGGCGCAGAAACTTTTTATTTACAAATTAATTTAAAAAATGTCCTCAACAGAAGACTTATTGCTTTATACTTTACGTATACTAGACATCCCAAATTCTTCAACATTAACATTTTATATAACATTATTGTCATTATGAACTTCAGAAAAATGTTTTTTGATACTTAAGTCCAGTAAATATCAGATACTTTAAGACTTTTACTCAAGTAAGATACTTGTATTTTTACTCTCGTATCACTTTGCGGTACAACACTGTGTTAACAGAAAATAGAGAAAACTGAACATGACCCAAACAGAATATAAAGATACAGAAAGTATGCAGCACCGGGAGAGACTAAACTCAAAATTTATGCAGTCCTTGAGACCCACATACACAAAAAAATGCATTTAAGAGTTAAAAAAGTGGATTTTGCATACGTCCCCTTTAAAATTGTCAGAAGACATTGTGACGTCATTATTAGGGCTGAAAATGGGACATAGCAAAACAAAACAAATTAAACTCAGCGGAGGAACAGTAAAAGTGCCGTTTGTTGCCCACTAAAACCCTGCATCTTTCTGTACATTTATAAACACGTTGAAGGTTTTAGATTGAAGTGTGTCATACGTTGTTTGAAGGTGTGGCAGATCCCAGACGGTGGGCTGACGACCCCGATGACCGACGCCATCGTGACCCTTGAGGGGCACAGTAAACGAGTGGGAATCCTGGCTTGGCACCCCAGTGCCTTCAACATCCTCCTAACTGCAGGTAGAATCATTTACAGTCTTGCTAAAAGTTTTGAAAACTGAGTGGATTGTCTTGTCATTTTGCCAACTATTGTACATGATAACTGGTGCAGTGGAAGTGAAATATGAGTCATTTTTACAGTTGTTAGCTCCTCCCTCCCATGTCTTTTTGCCTCGAATGACTCACGTTCTACTCCTCATCTTTCTGTTTTGGTTTTTGACTTCATTATGTAACGTCTCTCCCTCTGTCTAGGTTGCGACAATGTGATTTGCGTTTGGAACGTGGGCACAGGGGAACTCGTGTACCAGCTCGATGACGCCCACCCTGACCTGATCTACAGTGTAAGCTGGAACAAGGATGGCAGCGCTGTCTGTACAGTGTGCAAGGACAAGGCCCTGCGCGTCATAGACCCCCGCAGAGGCACTGTTCTAAAGGTTAGGAAACGTAAAATGGGCCTTTTTGGAAACAAAGTGTGAGCTCGATTAAAAATAAAACATCTGCCCACAGTTCTCAACTGTAATTGTTCTTCCAGGTCAGAGAGAAGGTGCATGATGGTACAAGGCCTATGAGAGCTGTGTTCCTCTCTGACGGAAAAATCTTGACCACAGGCTTCAGCCGTATGAGTGAGAGGCAACTGGCTTTATGGGATACGGTAAGTCCTAAACAGACTTAGAAGGTGCATCTGGAGACCATCTTTGTCCCTACAGGTGTCGCTGTTTGGACACCTCATCTACCATAAAATATTATTTCACCCAGCGCTGTTTCTATTCCACCAAGTGTTTGTTTATGTAGGCAAAAGTATGTTTAAAAACCTGTTAAAACACATCACAATGCAGGAATTGGCATCTATTTTATTAAAAAATTTCAGAGTGATTTTTCTACAGACTAAATCAACTAAACTCTGATAAGTTATAAAAAAAAGTTTTGAACGTCGTTTGTGGCGCCCCCAAGATGGATGGTTCCCATAGCATATGCCTATACTGCCTATGCCACGGGCTGGCCTGCTTCTGACACCCCTGTTACAGGAAGTAGTTTGATAAACTTGTAAAGTAATATTTTCAGTATCCATGTTTTGACAGATTATGCAAAATATATGCATCTAATTACGTAAAAAAAATTTATTGTTCTAATAATAATATACATAATATACCTTGTAGAATAATGTCAGGCCACTCTGAGAATGTTACAAACTAAGTTAATCTACAGAAGGTATAGTTAATTTCTGCTGCTATGTACAAAAAAAATAGCTGCTTTGAAACTTTTATACGTTTCAGATAACCATTGTGGGATTTATTTACTGGAAAGGTCATCTCAAGGTCATGTGAGCCACAAGGTTAATTTCGAGGTTGTTGGAAAGAGCAAAGGGTTTTTGGACCCTAATTAAATCAGAAAAATAAGTGCAAATTCGGAATCCTCAGCAAATTCCCTTTCCAATGACATCAGGTTTGTGAAAAAGGACCCAGTAGTTTCCGAGAAAATTGGGGTTGAAGATGGTTAGCCACGCCCATTTCTGGGCTGAAAATATGTGGCGCCATATCTCTAGAACTACAGGTCTGACTGACCTAAAATTTGAGATACCGTGGTATTGCAGTCGGAAAATGTGCCAAGGTTCATCAAAATCTGAAATGGTAGGCTAAAACCCTTTTTCGACCCTTTGTTTTTGATTCTTTTTATCCTTTTTTGGTCTAAACAGAAAGATCTCTCCGAGCCGATGGCCATACAAGAAATGGATACGAGTAATGGAGTTCTTCTCCCTTTTTATGACCCCGACACTAACATGGTCTACCTCTGTGGAAAGGTGAACGTTTCGGACCTCAGAGCGTACATCATTGTCGTTTCGCAGTTGGGTTTGATTAAAGTTGGTATTCTAATTTTCAGGGCGACTGCACCATCAGATATTTCGAAGTGACGGATGAATCCCCATACGTTCACTTTCTCAGTTTATACAGCAGCAAGGAGCCTCAGAGAGGTGCCGGCTTTCTTTGTAAAAGGGGTGTAGATGTCAACAAGTGTGAAATCGCACGGTAAGTGCACTGAATTTGGTACTTTTAACTCTATTATAGACTATTTCTTTAAAATGGTTTTTTAGGGAGTTGTTTTTTATTTTTGATTTTTTTTGTATGCTCTGCTGTTTACAGATCACAAGAACGGAATGTGGTTACTTTATATAGTGATGAAAAAAGTCCTTTTGTTGCTAAAGCTATGTCTTGAGCTTACATTCTCCAGAAACACATTACCAGTCAGATAAAATTTAATCTTTCACGAGGACTTAACTATTCTTTGTGGATTCTGTAGTCGACTAAAAATGTTTTTTTTTCCTGAATATGGTGAAAATGCTGCACCCATATGAGTGAAGGTTTCTGTAAACTATTTTAGGAAGTAACTTAAGACTAAATAGAGCACTTTTTTTTCTACCTAATCTTGAGCGTCACTGGTAATTTCCTGTTTATCTACAGATTTTATAAGCTGCACGAAAGAAAAGTGGAACCTATTTCAATGACTGTACCGAGAAAAGTAAGCAACATATATTATACTGCTGAAAGTAGTATTTAATGGTGAACATAATAAACATGTATTTCAGTCTTGTGAACAATAGTAGCAGTTGACTTCTCGCTTCTCCAGTCAGATCTGTTCCAAGGAGACCTTTACCCGGACACTGCCAGTTTAGAGCCGGCTCTGCTGGCTGACGAATGGATCGCTGGGCAGGACGCGCCGCCTCTCTTGGTCTCCTTGAGCGGTGGGTACACGGCTCCAACATCCAAACACAGAGACACCCTCAGAGGCAAGCCCAAGCTCACCTCTCAGGACTCTGGGACCGGGGGAGCCGCATCGTCGGCGGGGACCGTAGCGACGGCTCCCACGTCCACGCCTACCTCTGTCACCAAGGAGATGGAAGAAGAGGTGCCCCAGCCTCAACCGCATCCGCGACAGGCTGCACGGGAGATAGATGGAAATACTGAGAGGCCAAGGAGAGAGGTTTGTTTTTGTTTTGTTTTTTGCAATTTAATGTGATAATGTACATAATGTAGTTCTAAAATGGGCAGCCAAGTATGTACCTGCTACATAGTTTGCTATGGACAAGTAAGTACTAGGTACGTATATACTTACCAGGCTGTATTATGTATTGTTCTAATTTGAAAAATACATGTATCAGGCAGTATTATGTACCACTAGTATAACTGTATTTTATATTTCTTCAAGGAATACTAGACTTTCATCAAAAAGAAAAAATAAGTAGGTCCTCTGGATGGGTTCTTCTTTAGTGAAACGTTTCGTCTCTCCAAGAGACTTCTTCAGTCTGATGAGTTTCAGGTGAACTCAGCCTTATAAGTACTGCCTCCACATGGTGGACAAACAGGTTAGTCACATCACCTGAAACTCATCAGACTGAAGAAGTCTCTTGGACAAGAGACGAAACGTTTCACGAAAGAAGAACCCATCCAGAGGACCTACTTATTTTTTCTTTTAGATTTTTTTCTACCTAGATTACTGAGATGCATCAGGACACTAGACTTTCAGTTTTGTAAAATACCTTTCACAGAGGTGCGGTGCGGTACTTTTCTTACACCGGTCAAACATGTCTGTTTTTTGTTTTTTTTTCACTCCTTCTTTTAGGATGACATGCTGACAGAGTTGTTAACAGAAATGAAGGCTTTGCGGGCCGTGGTGCTCGCTCAGAACCAGCGGATTGAGCATCTGGAGAGGCAACTGGCCCGCATTGAAGACGGCGACGTATGAGGCGGCGAAAAGATTTGCTACATTCGGACAGTATTCTTAATACAGCTATAGACCGTAGCCTTACTAGAGTTAAACAGTTGTGTGAGTGGAAGAACGTAGAGTAGAGACTAACTGGGAATTACAGTGGCTTGAAACCCGGTCCGCTGCTACAATCAAAACATTTTTTTCCTTTGATTTGCAGGGTTTTTAGCTTGTGATTAAAAACGGGGTGTCATCTGCAAAGAGTGTAATATCCAGCGAGATTTTTTGTTCACATTATGAAGGATATTGTAGCAGTTTTTTGGTGATAAAGCTTGGATCTTTGCAAAATCCATGCTTCTGATTCCAAAAGACTGAAGTCGGTACATCACTGCCTCAAATTTAAGCAACAGGCACTAATAAGCGGTCCTTTAGCAAAAAAGTCAAGTAAAGATGTAATCACTAGAGAATTTAATTCAGGTAGTTTCAGCTACTAAACTGTGATATTATATCAGAATCGTTGACTTTTTGTGTGACTTTTTTTTTTTTCATTTTCTTATCTATAAACCACTGTGGAAATTGTGAGTGATAGTTGGTGAGAAAGTAGCTGAATATCTTTGTGCATTTTAGTTCAGTGTGGTCGCTACAGTCAACAAAAAGGTCAAACACTTGTGATGTTGCACGTTGTGTCCTTAAATGAGAGCAGTGACGTGAAAATTTGTGCAAACACCATGAAGCGAAGCGTTTGATCTTTATCATAAATATGCACATAATACACTTCGCCTCTTTTCTGCAAAACAAATGGGAAATGACCAGTAAACTCAAAGTCTTATAGAGGCTAACTAAAAGTAAGTTCAAATATAAGCAAACACTAAACTGATTGTGCTGTAAAGTTGAAGTACAACACACTTACTTTATCCAAATCTGACCTGTTTGAAGCTCCATAAAAAGAGGAAGTTAACATGTAATGTGAAACGTTTTCTTCACTTTAGAGCGACATCCGTGTCGGTGTTAAAAGATGTAAAATCTTGTTGTTGTTTTTTTTTTTTTGGTTTGTTTGTTTTTTTCTTGTGGTTTTGAATGTGTTTTAAATTTTAAAGGCGTATGTTACTGTACGTTTCAGTTGATTGTAGTGTAGCAACATTATCAAATCCAAAAGACTTCCCTTTTTAACTTTGTTTCTGTATGCACTGACCTCTGAACACTAACTGTAAAACCAGTCACATGTTCTATGAGACCACCATTAAACTTTATTTTATACTTTGGACGGAAATGCACTTTATTTACATTGATGATTTAATGTGATATGTGCATTGATATTAGTAGGGGCATCGGCCGATTTCAGCATTTTTACAAGGACTCATACAAAATTAAGGAGGACCAAAACTGACTTAATTAAAAATAAAAGCAGAAATATATAAATGGACTAATAAATAAATAAATAAATACACCTAGAAAGCACCAATTAAGTTTAGCTTACAGCTTAAAGTTTAGTTTAAAACAAAGACACAGGTAAGTGATCTCCTTCTTGCCTGTGCACAAGCATAAAGATTTGAGCTGCGCTTGGTTCTTGCTCCTTCCTGTCTGTTGACCAATAGGAGAGGAGCTGACCTAAGAAGGACCGCCCACTTTATTTGCACAATGAGGCAGAAATGCATAAGGTAATGTAAATACAGGTGTATTAATGTAAAAGCAACACTGGAAATAAAAAGACTTGGGAAAATTTATAAAAATGTTTAAATCTAATCAAGAGACAAATGTATTTACAAGTAAAAAGAAAAAGTTATATATATTTTTTTTTAAACAGTAAAATATATGTCCTAAAATTATATAATTTATCGGAACTAAGCTGGAAAACTAAATATGAAAGTCAATGAAATTATAAGATAAAATTCAAATTTTTTATTGGTGAATTTTAAGTGTTTTTGTTTTTTTATTGGTCCATTTATTTCTGCTTTTATTTCTAATTATGTCAGTTACGGTCCTCCATACAAAATGCCCCGATATCTGGAACCAGTACCAGTATAGATACTGGTACACTGGTAGTACCTCACTAAATATGTTACAGTTTAGATTTCAAGTGAAAAGTTTGTCAGTTCCATGTTTAAGACATTTATACAAGTTGAAAGAAAGTCAAATGTTACAACAGTATATATATCATGTTGTATATTGGGTTTGATACATTCAGATGGGCTGTAGGCCTGTAAGGAAGGAGAGCCATCTTGTTCTAAATACTGTAAAAGACATGTTTTTAAAGTTATTATAAAATGTGTTTTTAACTCAATAAGTACTCTTTTGGCGAGTACCAAAACTGAAGTATTCATGTTTGGTTTGAGAAAAACTATGACAATGACAAAATGTGTTCTCTGCATTTAACTCATCATGTGTAAAGTACACCCATGGACAGCGGGCTGTTAAGTAAGCACTCAGAAAATGTGTCTCTTTGAAGAATAGCACAACGTACGATCATGGCAGGAAATTGAACCTTTGACTGTCTTATTTCATGGCGGCTGCCCTACCACTGCCTCACAGCTGCCCCCTTTGTGCTCATCTAGGACTTTTTGATAAGGGTGGTGCAGTTGGTAGAGCCGTTTCTTCTCAGCGAGAAGGTTGCCAGATCGATTCTTCTCCCAGGGACCTTTCCGGGTAGAGTTTGCCTGTTCTCTCTGTGCATGTATGGGTTTTCTCTAGGCAAAGACCAAAAACATGACTGTTAGGCTAACTGGTAACTAAGTTGTTTGTCTTTTTTGTGGCCTTATGATAGACTTGCGACTTGTCCAGGGTGTAGTCCACCCCACGCACAGTGGCTGCTGGGTATGGGCTCCAGTGACCTCCTACAACCTTGAAAGGAACCACACTGCAAACTGGTGTCACGACGTCAATTAGTATATCTAAGAAAGTTCTTCATGAAACATCTGTGTAATTTTAGCTCATAAGAGTTTCTAAAAGGTCTAAAGAAAGGAGCGCCCAGCCGCCCACCCAAGATGAATAGAAGAGGCACAAAAAAATAAATTCTGGTCTTTGCAATAAAGAAACCGTGAGTTTATGCTCTTTGTTTAACAAGCGACTGTAACAAACTTAAAGCATGACAAATTCAGCCAACAATGCAAAATCTATCGGGTAAGAGAACTGTCAGAATCATTGTATGTGTAAGAGTCTAAATTTGTACATGTAAGTCTATAAACGTACATAAATTTTTTACAGCTTTGCCACATTACAAGTACAAATCCTATTTACAAGTACAATTCTTGTGTGAGAATACAAGTTAAAAAGTTACAACTTTGCCACATTACAAGTACGAATCAAATTTACAAGTACAACTCTTATGTGAGAATACAAGTTTTTAAGTTACAAATACAAGTTAAAAAGTTACAACTTTGCCACATTACAAGTACGAATCAAATTTACAAGTACAAATCTTATGTGAGAATACAAGTTTTTAAGTTACAAATACAAGTTAAAAAGTTACAACTTTGCCACATTACAAGTACGAATCAAATTTACAAGTACAAATCTTATGTGAGAATACAAGTTTTTAAGTTACAAATACAAGTTAAAAAGTTACAACT